AAAAGAAAAAAAAAGGGGGGGGGGGCCAAAAGAAGCCACCCCCTGCATCCCCATTCATCACCAGGATGAAGAGGAAAGCCAAGCCCTGGGCAGGAGCAGGGCTGCCAGCCTGTCGTGCTGGAAGCAGGCAGGGAGACGTGCAGAGCTGCTGCAAGGGGCCGTTAGCCACACCATGCTCCTGTCCTCTGCCACCCAAAGCCATCCCACCATCCCCCAAAGCCACCCCACTGTGCCCCCCCAAGCCCTGGCATCTGTCCCTCCCCAGGGAGGGCTGACGGACAGCGAGCGGGAGTAGGCAGGGCATCAATGCCATGCCCAAAGGGGCAGAAGGGCAAGTTCAAACCACTGGAACAACTATAAACTGACAAAAATAAGAGGTAATGAATGGCCTTGGTCACCCCCCTGCATCCTCCATGCCCCATCACGCATCCCCAATGCCGCCCTGCTCCCATCCCCGTGTCCCAGCAAAGAACCAAGCGAAAAAAGCGTCTAAAGGAAAATAAAATCACTCAAATGCCACCAGCTCCCAATTTATCCACACCTGAAAACAGATAAAATAAACCAAGTGACAGTGTTACACCTAGATATAACAAGCACCTAGGAAAGGATCACTTCCGAGGGTTTTTTCCCTGACCAGCTCCATAGTGAACAGCATCCGAGACCTACGGGAAAGCTGCCGTGCACCGAGCGGGCAGCAGGAGGCGGTTTCCCCATGCCTGATATGGCTACCATCACCCTGGCAGTGTCATATTTATGTGTATATTTATATATAAAGTCTTTTTTTTAACATATATAAATACGCATTTAAAAGCATCTTTTTTAATACATATATAAAAAGTATATACATAAAGTATCATAGATATAATTATTTATCTACTATCTCTTACTTACATATACATAAAAGATACTAAATAAATACTGAAAGATACATTACTAATTTATATAAATACAAAAGAAACTAAAATATATTAAATACGTATGTTTAAAACCCAGACTAGAACCGAGTGCAGCCCCACTTTTAGCAAACTCAGTTTTAGATCCGGTGTAACTCAACAAACCCCCCACACAAGAAAATCTCCAAGTTTAATTCTCTCGGTGAAGCAAAGCAAACCCTCCCATCTGCAGCTGGAGAAAAATCTCTTCTTGTTCTTTAGGATTCTCTAATTTAAAAAAAAAAAATTCTAATTTTTAAATTTTTTTTCTAAATTTCTCTAATTATTTTTTTTTTAATTAGATTTTTTTAAAAAAAAAATAAATTCGAGATATGGGAACTAGAGGGCCAGGGGAGTCTTTTTTTATGCTCCTTGTGTGTATTTATAGACATGCGGGTAAATAGGTGCTGGGGGCTCTTCCTGGCAAAGCAACTGGTTTGCTTGAGGATTTCCTCACCCCTAATTAAGCACCTCATTGACGACAAGCAATTAATAGTGAGGAAAAAAAAGATGAGCTGCCCGTAGGGAGACAAAAGGGCTTGTACGTTTATTCTAAGCCTTAAGGTCACCAGCATTTTGGGTTTAAAAACAAAGGGGTGGGGCAAAACAAACAAACAAACAAATAAAGCCAAAATACACGGAAACAAGAACTGAATTGATGCTCAAGAGAGGAAACCTGAGTTAAGGATAATTCCTTCTGAAAGAGGAGAAAATCCTGCAGATCCCACAAAATCACCCCTAGTGAAGCTGCTCGGGCTGGCATTTTCATCAGACCCCTCCAGCAACCACTGTCCAGGGCAAAACCACCCAAGTTTCGCCCTTTATTAAAATAATCAAAATTATTATTTTTAATATTACAGAGATTTCCAGCCCAAACTCTATCCGACAGCCTCCCCCTCCATGCTGTTCAGCTCTCCCTCGTGCTTTTATTTCTCACAGCTGAAAATTATAGCAGAAGCAGAAATGAAAAGGCACCTTCACAACCAGGAACCTGAAAAATTTCACTGGTTTGGAGACATTAAATGGGGCTTTGCTAACTCGCTGCTACTTATTAAACTCACCGTTTTCTCCAATCCTCGTATAAAAGTCAACATTGGGGTGGCTGAGTTTTACTTCCCGTATTTCACAACCAATCGTAATTTATTTTTTTTAGTATCTCTCTTTCCCGTTGACAGGATTTTCAGAGATGTACAATCTTTAAGGGGAAAGAGGCCAATGCTTCCCTCACAGCCCCACTCCGGATCCCAAATACTCTTGAAGCGGGATTGCATTGCCTCGCTTTAAGCAAATAAAAGCATTCTCTGCTCC